GGAGTGTGAGAGAGAGGGGAGAGAGGGGGTGAGGGAGAGAGGGAGAGGGGGAGACGGGGTTTGAGAGAGGGGGAGTGAGAGAGAGAGAGAGAGAGAGGGGGGGAGAGGGGGAGTGAGGGAGAGAGAGGGGGGTGTGAGAGAGAGGGGGAGAGGGGGTGTGAGGGAGAGGGGGTGTGAGGGAGGGTGTGAGAGGGGGTGTGAGAGGGGGAGTGTGAGAGAGAGGGGAGAGACAGAGAGAGAGAGAGGGGGGAGAGGGGTGTGAGGGAGGGAGAGGGGGTGTGAGGGAGAGGGGGTGTGAGGAGGGAGAGGGAGAGAGGGGGGGAGAGGGGTGTGAGGGAGGGAGAGGGGGTGTGAGGGAGGGAGAGGGGGTGTGAGGGACCTGTGTTTGTGTGCAGTCATTCTGCAGCGCCGCGACACCATGAAGAACCTCAGACAGGCGGCGACCGAGGCTTTCACACGATTAGGTCAGTGCCGCACAGCCCTCACACACCCCCACACACACACCACACACACACCCCCACACACACACACACACACACACACACACACCCCCACACACCCCCACACCCACACACACACACACCCCCCACACACACACCCACACACACACCCCCACACACACACACACACACCCACACACACACCCCCACACACACACACACACACCCACACACACACACACACCCACACACACACACACCCCCACACACACCCCACACACACCCCCACACCCACACACACACCACACACACACACCACACACACACCCACACACACACAAACCACACACACACACACCCACACACACCCCCACACACCCCCACACACACACCCACACACACACCCCACACACACACCCACACACACACACCCACACACACCCCCCACACACACCCCCCACACACACCCCCCCACACACACCCACACACACCCACACACACACCCCCACACACACCCACACACACCCCCACACACACACCCACACACACACCCCACACCCACACACACACACACACACCCACACACACACACACCCACACACACACCACCCCCACACACACACACACACCCCCACCCACACACACACCCACACACACACACACACCCACACCACACACACCCACACACACACACACCCCCCACACACACACCCCCCACACACACACACACCCACACACACACCCACCACCACACACACCCCCACACCCCCCCCCACACACACACACACCCACACACACACACCCACACACACCCCCCACACCCCCCCCCACACACACACACCCACACACACACCCCCCCCCCCCCCCACACACACACACACACCCCACACACACCCCCCACACACACACACCCACACACACACCCCCACACACAGCCACACACACACACCCACACACAGCCCCCACACACCCACACACCCCCCACACACACAGCCCCCACACACCCACACACCCCCCACCCACACACAGCCCCCCCACACACTCACCCCCCCACACACAGCCCCCCCACACACTCACCCCCCCACACACACACAGCCCCCCCCACCCACTCACACACACACCCAGCCCGAGCCCTGCACAGTGCACCCCCCCCACACACACATTCCCCCCCCCCCCCCCCCCCCCACACACACACAGCCCCCTCCCCACACACACACACAGCCCCACACCCACACACACACAGCCCCCCCACACACACAGCCCCCCCCACACACATATACAGCCCCCCCCACACACACACACAGCCCCCTCTCCACACACACACACACAGCCCACCCCCACACACACACCCCGTCCCTCCCGCACACACATACACACAGCCCCCCCACACAAACATACACACAACCCCCCCACACAAACATACACACAGCCCACCACACACATACAGACCCCCCACACAGCCCCCCCCACCACACACACACACACACATACACACACAGGCCCCCCACACACATACACACAGCCCCCACCCCCCCCCACACACACACATACACACAGCCCCCCCACCACACAGCCCCCCACCACACACAGCCCCCCCCCACATACACAGCCCCCCCCACATACACAGCCCCACCCCCACATACACAGCCCTCCCCCACACACAGCCCCCCCCACATACACGCGCATCCCCTCCCCACCACGCGCACATCCCCTCCCTCCTGCGCGCGAATCCCCTCCCCGCGTGCAGCCCCCACCTCCCCGCGCGCAGCCCCCCCCCCGCACACATACGTGCCCCACACACGCACACAGCTCCCCACTCACACACGCACACAGCACTCACACACGCACACAGCACCCACACACGCACACAGCACCCACACATGCACACAGCCCCACACACGCACACAGCACCCCCCCCACACACGCACACAGCCGCCCCCACACACACATTGCCCCCCCACACACAGCCCCCCACACACACATACACACAGCTCCCCCCCACCCACAACACACACACCCCAAGTTTATACAGCCCCCCGCACCCACAACACACCCCATATACACCCAACCCACACACCCCACATATACACAGCCCCCCCACTCACAACACACACGCACCCCACATACCCACACCCCACATACCCACAAATTGATTCACAGCTCCGCCTTCCCCCCACAACACACACACCACGCACTCATTCACAACACACAGACACACACACACACACACTGCGTGTCACAGACCCCCACAACACACACCCCACATACATACAACACACACTTAAACACAGGCCCACATCCACAAGACACTCACTCACAGCCCCCACACAACACAACCAAAATACATACATACACACCACACACTCACAGCCCCTCCCAATCCCCCACAACACACACACACACACCCCACATACACCCAACACATCCAGTACCACACACCCAGCCAACACACACACACACACACACCACATACACCCAACACATCCAGTACCACACACCCAGCCAACACACAAACAAACACCCCATATACACCCAACACATCCAGTACCACACACCCAGCCAACACACACACACACACACACACACCACATACACCCAACACATCCAGTACCACACACCCAGCCAACACACACACAAACACACAGCCCACACACCAACTCACTTATCATTACTTCCCGGTATTGGAAAGGAATGATCGGCCTCTCCGAGGACGGAGGCATCCTTCTAGCTTCTTTTTTTTAAAAAAAAAACATGACATACGTTTGCTGTAGTGCAGTGTGTGGTTGGCATTAGCAAGTGTGTGCCCCTGAGGGGCACGGCTGTTATTTTACCCTCCAGCAAAAGCTTGAGGCTGGCACGCTGAGCCGAACGCAGCACGGGATCTCTCTCTCACTCGCCTTTCAGGCTAACACCAGCCACGTACTACCTCAGGAGGCATCTGGGCTTTTTTAAAAAAAAAAAAATCCAAGCAGATGTGTCCCCTCAGCGAGAGAGTGCAGCCTCCGTTCCAACACACGGGAATTTCCACGTGTCGGTGGGATGCATGGAGTTCTCAGTTTGGTTTCGACGCTCTTAAGCAATGCGATGGGTATCCGCACATGTCAGACACCCGGCTGACAAACCCTAACCCTTTTTTTTTATACACGCACACAAACACACACACACCAAATGCCATCTCTTTGAGGTCAGGCCTGCATTTTGTTTTGTGTGTCCTGGTGGGGAGGAGTTACACGTATGTTACACGTGATCTCCCAGTCCAGGCTGCTGCTCCAGCACAGTGCGGGGGTGGGAATCGTTGCTTTGTGCTGTCAGAGGTGCTGCTTCTGTGGCTTGAGGCGCAGAACCGAGTTCGCGTCTGGGAGTTAAAGACCCCCGTGACCTTATCCGAAGCGATAAGGGAGTTTCTCTCGCCTGGTGTCTGGGCTCCAGGATGCCGCCCTTGCATGAGGGGCGCTGTATAAATGCAAGTTGTTGCTGTGTCCTGGTCAACAATCTCCTGAATAAAATTGGCCGTTCTCCTCAAGGTTGCTCTACCCCAATTGGCTGCCACATTCGCCTACAAAATATACAGTCACTACACTACCTCGCAGTAAAGTCTTGTGAGGCACTTCGAAGATGTGATAAGGGGCCATATCCAATGAAAGATTATTTCTTTTGTTTGTATGTTCATATCTAGATCGGAAATGCTTCTTTTCAAAGCCGAAGTGCCATTCCCTTATAAATCCCGTCTACCTCTTTTCAGTAGACATAAAGTCCCATGACGGCATTAAGAAAAGAAAAGGGAGTTTCTCCCAGTGTTCTGGTCACCAGTCCCCCGGATAAAATTGGTCACTCACTCCGTGGCTGTTTGTGGGACATTGCTGAGTGCAAAATGCTAAGTTTGTGATCACTACACTTGACAACACTGCACTGTGAAACTTTTTGAGATAACTGAACACAATAAAGTTGCTATGAAAATGTAAACCTATGTAGCAAAAGTGTGAAAAACAAACTTTGGATGTCACATACAGACAGCGCAGGACAATAATAATAATAATCCTTGCATTTGATATAGCTCCTTTCATATCAGAAGGGTACTTCACAGAATTTACTGTAAAATATAGTGACTGTGTGTTTTATAGGCTAACCTGGCAGAGAATTTTCACGCAGCAAATTTACGCACAGCAATGTCCCACAAACAGCCATGAACCAATTTTTATCTGGGGGATTGTTGGCCAGGACACCGACCATGAGAAAAGCCATTCTCTTTTCGAATAGCGCCACGAGATCTTTAATATCCATGTGAACGGGCAGACGAGAACTTGGTTTCTCCCGGCGCCCTGGCCGACAATCCCCAGATAAAATTGGTCATTCACTTCATGGCGGTTTGTGGTACGTTGCTGTGCGCAATTGACTGCTACTCTTGCCTACATAATATCCAGCCGCTACGCTTTACAGTAGATCCTGTGATGCGCTTTGAGATGACCTCCTGACGTGAAAGAAGTTATACCGAAATGGAAGGATTATTATTATTTAGTATTATTATAACACGCCATGCAAAGGATGGCACCACCAACAATTCGGCACACACCCAGCGGAGCTTAAAATGCACATAAGTCTTATCAGTCAGGACCATAATATTTAACATAATATTTAACATCATTTATGCAAAGTATGAATTACATAAGTTATATTGAATCCAAATTAATCAAGAATGCGTAATTCCATGCAGCCGGCAAGTGCGATAGAGACAGTATGACTTAGGAGATGATTTGCTTTATAAAATACGACTTGTGCAAAGAAACTTAAATGGTTTTGGTGGGAAACTGAATGGGACTCAGGTGCATGCACGACTTCAGCAATGAAACGATTTATAAAGATAAGACTTACTGTAGTGCCTTATTATGTCTTTGAGATGTCTCAAAACGCTTCGAAGGACATACCATAAAGTGGATTGACTGTATATTTTGTGGGCAAAACGCAGCAGCCAGTTTTACACACCAATGTCCCACAACAGCAATATCCTACAAACAGCCAGTGAGTGACCAATTTTATTTGGGGGATTGCTGGCCAGAACCCCGGGAGAAACTCCCTTCTCTTTTCGAATAGAGCCATGGGATCTTTAACGTCCACTTGAACAGCCAAATAGGACCTTGATTTAACGTCTCAATCACACAACAACCATCTAACCCAGAGCCAAAAGCATAACCGACTGAGCTAGGCTGACACTTTGGTTTCTATTGACAGAGACAGTCAGGAGTCTAGTCTCGCTGGTTCACAATGATGGCTAAGATTTTTCTTTGTCCTTGCAGGCTTGACACACAGACACCCGGGATATAAGGAGGTAAGGATTCCGATTGTCGTTCGCACATCTGTATCCCAGGACAGCTCTGTCCCAGTGGGTCCCGCTTAACACCAAGCTCCAGCAGCACCGCGCTCACAGAAATGCCCGTCATCCCGGTTGGAAATAATAATAAGAATATTCCATGCATTTGACGTAGCACCTTATCAGGTTGCTGAGGGTGTCTCAGAGCATTTTGCAGGATATACTGCGAAGTGTATTATCTGGGTATTTTGTGGACAAATGTGGCAGCAAATTGGCTCACAGGAGCATCCTGCAAGTACAGACGAATGGTACATTCCATGAGTCACAGACAGCTGCCCCCTTGTTATTGACGACACCAGGAGTTCCAAATAAAGGCGGGTGGCCCTGGTGTAACAGGTAACCACTTTATTCTCGGCTCAAAATAATCCAACCATAAACCCACTCCAGGTATTCTCCCACAATCCCTTTTATACGTCTTGCTCTTCTTCCGTTGGCTCCCAGTTAATTGTCTATTTCCTCTGAAATGATCAACAACAGAGAGGGCATTTACTTGCTCTCATTTTCAGCGCACCCTGTTTTGCAGTGTGAGCTCAGAGTCCAGAAGTAGGGGCTTCAACCCATAATTGTCTGACTCTGGGGAGAGAGGGCTACCAGGCTGACACCTGGCTCCATCTGTATTATAACTAAGGTAAAAGTTATTTTATCAAATTTATTCGGCTGATTTAGTTCTATGCCACTTCTGAGTGCAAATATATAGCGACGGACCACAAAATAGCCCCAGGCACAAGGTATGCACTGATGTTTCGCTGTTTCTTAACCAAATGAGTTTGATGCTTTTTCACCCCAGTGTTTAGTGGTAATCATATTTGCTGCCTCTCCACACACACAAAGATGACTGTGTTTAACGTCCTGACTGGCTCCTCCCTGGTCTCGCAAGAGGGTCATAAGACTTTGTCCAGAGCAGAGGCTTAGCTTGTGATCAGCAGTGAGATGGAGCAGATCTACCCTGGTCTGAGGCTCGGCTTCTGCTCTTGTTGAAGCTCCACAGCGAGCAGGGGCAGGGGAGGTGGGGAGAGAGCAGGATGTCTGAGGGGGCATTAGCGAGGCTGTGGTGCTGCTGTCGCTCCAATGGTCAGAGACTGGAGTCCAGCCTGGAGAGTCTGGGTGATGAGGGGACTGTATTTGAGGTAATATCCATCCTCCCGAGTTAGACGTTACACCAGCAATGTTCTGGGTAATGGGTTGTATGGTCAGGGTGGGGGCACAGCTGGGGATGTGGCTGGGTTTGGGGGCACAGCTGGGGTTAGGAGTGCAGCTGGGGTTGTCTTTTGTAGTTATCAGACTGAAAGCCTCTGGTTGATAACCACTCTGATGTCCCTCTCCTCTGTGGCTTGCAATAACTTGACATTTCTGTTTTTCCAGCTCAATGAAGTATCCGAGTCTCCAAGAAACTCTTTTGCGTGTGACTCTCTCCCGCCAAGGCTCTACCACACCCTGCAGGTCAGGAAGCTGCGAGGCCACAGGAACAGGAGCAATAGCGACCCATTGGGAGGCAAGAACTACACTCAGAGTTACCAATGGGTATGTTCCTCACCTCTGCGTGAGAGACAGAGTTTTCTACTCTCTACCCCCTTCGCCCTCTGCCCCTCACCAACATAGTGGGTCTAACTTGCGATGTTTGCATGAGGAATGGGAAGCACAATTCCAATTTGCAATTCCCATATGACCAGTGAAAGCTATCCCTGCAGTGCCTTTTCCCAGCCAGGCGTGGGGCACTGCAGGACTTTGCAAATGGAGTGATTAAGGAACAACTTGTATTTTTACAGCATCTTACAGTTATTATTGTCAAGTGTGGTAACTAGTTTTTTTTCTAGGTCATTTTGAGCCCCTGTATCCCGTCCACGCAGAGCCTGGTCTGAACGATTTTTTTGGGGGGGGATTGTTGATCAGGACACCAAGATGGGCTCCCTTCTCTTTCCTTATATTGACATGGAACTTTAACATCCATATCAAAAATCATACTACGAATAATCATTGCACTTGATATAGCGCTTTTCATGGAAGGATGTCTCAGAAAGTGATTCACAGGATTTATTGTAATGTGTAGTGACTGTGTATGCTTAAGCCATAGAATCATAGAATTATACAGCACAGAAGGAGGCCATTCAGCCCATCGTGTCTGAGTCTCCAAGAAATTCCTTTGCGTGTGACACATCGTGCCAATTCAATCCCACTCCCCCGCTCTCTCCCCTTAGCCCTGCAAAATTGTCCTCCCCAACAGGTAAACATATTCAATTAAATAATAATAATAATAATCCTTGCATTTGATATAGCGCTTTTCACATCGGGAGGACGTCCCAAAGCGCTTCACAGAACACACTAAAGTGAATTGACTGTATATTTGTGGGCGAACACGGCAGCCAATTGCACACAGCAATGTCCCACAAACAGTCGTAGATTGAAAATGACCAATTTATTATTGTTTTTGGTTTTGGAGGGATTATTATTAGGCTCTGTGTGGAGTAAGGAAACTTGCCCAAGGTTTCACCCTCTGCCTGGAATTGAACTCAGGTCTCTCGCTTGCAAAGTGAGTGCTCTAACCACTGAGCTACAGGACTTTTACAAAAGATCAGTAGGAGACCCGCTTAGGCGTGGGGGAGGAGAGAAAGAGAGAGAGGAGGGTGTCAGCTGAAAAGCATTGGAGTCATAGAGTTGTGCCCTTAGTTGAGGATTGAAAGCCGAGAGGGAAGGGGTTAAGCGTAGGTTTGTTCCTGAGAGTATATTGCATGCTGTGTGTAAACCATGTGTAAACTCAGATGTTGCACAGTGTGCATAAACCATGTGTAAACACGGGTGTGTTGGGCACTGTGTGTAAATGTATGTCTATCGAGGCGGCCTTCATTACGTAAGCAACAACCAAGTGGTAAAGTGAGGGATTTGATTTGTAAGTAACAGGAAAGATCACTGCGGGGCTAACATTATGGTAAGTAAACCTCCCGCTGAGATCCACGCGGGCTTGTTTCTGTTACATGTCAAGTGCTTTACGACGTCCTCCTGATGTGAAAAGCCCTCTGAATATAAATTGTATTCTTTTTCTCTGATACCACATGACAAAACGGTCTGTCCCAGGGAACCTAGAATTTCCCTGGATGTGCAGTCTTGAGAGCCTAAAACAAAGGCATGGTTTATAACATTGAGTGTGTGTTTGCCTTACAGCGAAATGGTCTCAGATTCGGGACTGCAGCCTCTTACCTGAACCTGGAGAAGTTGGGGGAAGGCTCTTACTCTACAGTCTACAAAGGAATTAGCAGGCAAGTAGCAGGTCTCTTTTTTCTCCATTTATGGCAAGCTATGGGTTTTTAGCCCTCTCCTACGGTGGGGTGGGGGGGCGCAGGGGCAGGGCAGGAAAGCGGGTCTCCTTGGAGCAGAACTAAATGCAACATGACATGTTTAGCAATAGAATATCGGAATCGAGCCAGCTCTCTCTGGTGGTAAACCGGTTCCTGAGCCAGACGGGTCTGCAGTATTCCAGTATTGACAGTACAGCCAGCCACTCAGTCACTTAGTCACCAGTTAACCCTGCAAGCCAAAGCCCTAACAGATAGGGTGGTGCTAGCTAGACAAACAGCGGGGAAAACTCGCCAGACAGTAATATCAACAACAACAAATTACATTTGTATAGCGCCTTTCACGTCGGGAGGACGTCCCAAGGTGCTGGACAGCCAAGGATATCAATGGTATCTGGCATGATTATGGCCACCTCTGTGTGTTTGAAGATGGCTAGATGAAGACGCTTTTTCCTTCTCCCGGTGTGATGGGCGTTTGGTGCTGAAGTTCTCTCTCCATCTGCTCAGGATAAACGGCCACCTGGTAGCGCTAAAGGTGATTAAGATAAAGGAAGAGGAAGGAGTCCCATTCACAGCCATTCGAGAAGGTACCTGAGCCATCATCATGACACATTCTGTGTCGCTGAAGCTCCATCATTACAGGGTCCATCACAAATCCCACTGTCCAGATGGCACCTCGGTTGGAGGCTTTCCTGACTGCCTCTGAGTCTGAAACCCACTTCAGGACTCTGACCACACATTCTAGGCTAGGCTTACCCTCCATCGCAGTGCTGGTGGTACAGTACCTTGTTGGAGATGTCGTTATACTAACGTTAAGTCAAGGTCCAGTCTGTCTGTTCAGGTGAACATTAAAGTTCCCGTGGCACGAATCAAAAAGAAAAGTGGGGAGTTCTCCCCATGTCCTGGCCAGCAATCCCCCCAAATAAACCAGGCGTATCCAGTGACATGTTAGTTACTATAATCTGCCCGTATCCAGTGACATGTTAGTTACCATAACCTGCCCGTATCCAGTGACAGGTTAGTTACCATAACCTGCCCGTATCCAGTGACATGTTAGTTACCATAACTTGCCCGTATCCAGTGACATGTTAGTTACCATAACCTGCTGTGTACAGTTCCTATAATGGACTGTTTGTGTCTATATTTGACTGATCATTTCTCTGGTGCAGCCTCTCTGCTGAAGGGAATTAAGCACAGTAACATTGTCCTTCTGCACGACATCATTCACACCCCGGAGACCCTGACCTTCGTCTTTGAGTATGTGGTGAGTTCATTCTGTCACTGACCCTTCAATCCTCAAGTAACCGCAGTGTTCATTGTCAGGGCTCAGTGTAATCTGGGCTCGGTCTCACACAGATGTGTCCCAGTCTGACTCGATTCTTGATGTGTTCACTCTCTATCTCTGCAGCAAACAGACCTGGCCCAGTACATGACACAGCACCCTGGAGGCCTCCACGCACACAATGTCAAGGTAGGTAGCACCTGGGAGTTAGCTCCTTTAACAACAACAGCTTGCATTCATACAATAATCCTTGCATTTGATATAGTGGTTTATCGCATCAATGAGCCATCACAAAGCGCTTCACAAGATATACTGTAGTGACTGTGTATTTTGTGGGAAACATGGCAGTCAAGTTGCACACAGCAATGTCCCACAAATAGCCATGGAGTGAGCGACCATCGAAGGAATGCACCTCCAATAATGCAGCACATCTCCAGCACTGCCTTGGAGTGTCAATTTAGACTATAATCCAAGTATTGGTGTAGGGTTGAACCCACAACCTTCTGACTCGGAGGCAAGAGTGCTACTGACTGAATCTGTCTGAAGCAATGTGTATCAATCTTCACGTGGGGTAGCCTCCCGGAGGGCTACTTAACTTCCTGATGGGAGCCCAGGAATAAATGTCATTTATTTCTCAGTATTTGTACAGCACCTTTCGTATTGCATGAACTATATATCTCTAAGCTCTTCTCAAAGACACTGGGGAGGAATCACTGAACAGGGAGGAGAGGAAGGAGAATTCGAAGGTGTTAACCAATGGTAAAGACAAAGAGCTATGTTAGTGGAAGTGGGTATAAGTCCTGTAGCTCAGTGGTTAGAGCAATTGCCTCCCAAGTGAGAGACCTGGGTTTGATTGCCATTAGGGTGAAATGTTGAGCAAATTTCCTTACTCCACATGCCCCTGTTTACCTAGCAGTAAGTAGAAACCCGATTGTTAGTCGATTGGCGGATTGCTTTGCCGGGGGTAATAATTCCTTCAAAAAAAATGGTCACTCAATTCATGACCGTTTGTGGGACACTGCTGTGCGCAATTGGCTGCCATGTATCGCCCACAAAAATATACAGTCAATTTTACAGCATATTCTGTGAAGCACTTTGAGATGTGTCAAAGACGTGATAAGGTGTTATATCGAATGATTATTGTATAAGTGGCAGTGAAATGAAATCACTCATCCTCTGACTCTCATACTGTTTGAAATTAAGTAAGGCGGGTGCGTCCCTCTGGGTAGAGAGGGTGCATTTCATACCAGACACCGAGGTTTCAATGTGCAAGTGGCTTACGTGCAAATCAGTCTTATCTGGATACTCTTCGGCACGGTGATGGGTTTCCACAAGTGTTGGGAGACCCAAAAGGCTGACCAATTTCGCTTGTGTGTAGTTACCCGAAGCTACCACCGGAGAGAGCCAGACACTGGTTCTCACCTCCCTTCTTCATTGAGACAGGATCACTGTGGGCGCACAGTGCTGTATCACTCAACAAGATTCCTTCTCTTAGGATCTCTGCTCAGGACGTGGGTCATGTAGAGCGGAGTTTCTAAGCCTCGATGTTTCTTAAGAAGGTTCCATTTGTGGGACCTGGATCCCTTCTAAGATGCTACAACGACTTGCCGGGATGCTGCACTAGGACAAGGTTGGACCGAGTAAGCGAGAGGGGGAAGGGGATGTACCCAACTTTTAAAAAAAATTGTTGCATTTTAATCAGCGCCTATCACGCCGAATGTCTCAAAGCACTTTACGAAGTGTAGTCACTGTGTTGCAGGCAAACTCAGCAGCCAATTGGCACACCACACCACCTCACAAACAGCCATAATGTGAGTGACCAATTTATTATCTGGGGGATTGCTGGCCAGGACACCCAGAAAAGCTCCCCAGAGTTAAACTGGACTGTGAATTCAAACCCCCACAAGGTGTCAGTCTGGCTCAGTTGGTAGAAATCGCTCCTGTGAGTCAGAAGGTTTGTGGGTTGAAGAGTCACGTGATGACTTTGTAGTCGTATAATCTTGGCTGACACTCAGATGCATTCCTGAGATGCTGTTAAGTGTTAAACTGAGCTCCTGTCTGCCTGTTCAATTAGATGTTGAAGATCCTATGACTCTATTCGAAAAGAGAAGAAAGTTTCTCCCAGAGTCCTGACCGACAATTTCTCCCAAACAAATAAAAATGGTCATTCACTTCATGGCTGTTTGTGGGACATTGCTCTGCGCAAATTGGTTGCCGTTTTCACCTACAAACACAGTCACAATGCCTGACAATAAATCCTGCAGAGTGAGTTTTGACATCCTCCGGACATAATAGGTACTGTATCAAATGCAAGGATATTTTTCTTATTGGGCACAGATTAGACAGCAATGACTGTATTTGGACTCTCATCTGACACGGTGAAGCAGCACTGAGGGTGAGCTGCATTTTTGGCTGCGTCGTTTGCACATGATGTTCAGCTGACATCCCCAGCTCCTTTTCCCGGAGGATGTTAGAGATCGCAGTGCACTACTTGAGGAGAATAATGAGGCGTTCTCCCGGTGCCCTGGCCAATATTTCACCGTCCAAATGCAGCAAAATGCAGAATAACTGGGTCATTCATCGTTCAGTGCTGTTTCTGGGATATTGCTGTGCAGATCAGCTGCTTATATAATGTAGTAACTCATTATGATGAAGTACATTGCTATGATGAGGCACTGTATCAAACGCAAATGTCACTGGAACTTCAAAACGCGACTTCAGAAATGTTATTGTTGTATCCAAAAAACAGTATTATTATTGTTATTACCATTTAAGTCTGATCCTGGTCTGAGTATGTGTTGGGATACTTGCTTTCTAGCTTTTCCTCTATCAGCTGTTGCGAGGTTTGGCCTACATCCACAGCTGTCACATTCTGCATCGGGACTTGAAACCACAGAACCTGCTCATCAGCTGTGTTGGGGAGCTCAAGCTGGCAGACTTTGGTCAGTTCACTTGTTTAGTGGCTGTGCATCTCCACAGTTATTTCTGTGTCTGCTTTCGTTTTGTGTATGTATCTGTGTGTATGATTGTGTGTGTGTGTTTGTCTGTTTGTGTGTTGTGCACACGTGTGAATATTAACAAACAGTAATAATGCTTATAGTTGATATAGAGCCTTTTGTGTCAGAGCAGCGTCTCACAGCACATCATGGGATTTACTGTGAAGTAACTGTGGGCGAATTGGCTGCTGCATTTGTCTACAACACAAATTTTTCATTTGTATTGTACCCTTCACATGGGGTAGTGTCTCGGAGCATCCACAAAATGCACAGTCACTACACTCAAATGTAATTCCTGTAATACACTTTGAGGTGTCTGGACAATGTGACAAGGTGCTACATCAAATGCAAAGATTATTAACTTTGGGGTGATTGGGAGTTGGGGGGAATGTGAGCCATGGGGAACCTGCCTTTTTTTCATCTTCGTCTGTTCCCAGGTTTGGCGAGAGCCAAGTCTGTGCCCAGCCAGACCTACTCTACAGAGGTGGTGACCCTCTGGTACCGACCACCCGATGTTCTTCTAGGTGCCACTGATTATTCCACCGGCCTGGATGTATGGTGAGGAGAATCGGTAACTTTCAGGGCCATGAAATCTGTAGGAAATGCTCCCGTTGTAACCAGACTGGACAGCAACAGACAGAGAGCTGGTGAATGAAGAGGCCAAATAGTGACACAGTCAAAAGTCTGTACAACCTTAAATTGTAAAGTGGTAATCGCACAGTCAGTGGGTGAAAATATTCTTTTGAGTCGGGGTGGGTGCTGGGGGGTGGGGGGGCTGAGCTGAGCCATACATCCTGACTGTTTTACTGAAGATTATGCTGTGTATATGTCCTGGCACTGAATTCAACACCCGCTCACTCAACTCACTGACTGCTACGCTCGCTTTACATCACGTCCCACTATACAGTGTGGAGAGCAGCGATCCTCTATGGCTTCAACATTCCAATCGCCAAACTTTGGTGAGCTGTAACTTCCCGTGGTGTAGTGGATCGCATGCTCACCTCGCAATTGAGAGGGCCTGGGTTTGATTCAGGGCAAAACCTTAAGACAAGTTTCCTTACTCCACACGCCTCTGTTTACCTAGCAGTAAGTAACAATCGGGTTGTGGTCAATTGGCAGATCGCTTTCTGGGGGTAATAATCCCTCCAAAAAATAAATAAATGCATTTGGTCACTCAATCTATGATTGTTTGTGGGACACTGCTGTGCGCAATTGGCTGCTGCGTTTCGCCCGCAAAAGATATACAGTCAATTCACTTTACAGTATATACTATGAAGCGCTTTGAGACGTCACAAAGACGTGATAAGACACGATGTCAAAAGCAAGGATTATTATTATTGCTATTATGAAGTGAGACCAGGAGGACCTTGCCAGCCTTGATTGAGAGGCTCACTGATCTGCTGCAGCGGTGAGTGTCCCAGCGAAGGCAATGAGTTCTCCCATTGAGTATCAACCCTGAAGGCCTCCGTGGACTTCATGGTAGTCACTCACAGGGACTTTCATTGTCTTTGAATCATAACATTTTACAGTGCAGTAGGAGGCCACCGGCCCAGTTGTGTCTGCATCCACTTGGTCTTGGTTTGAACTTAATGGATTTCATTTGTCTTGTGGCCTATTTGTGTAGAGTAAAAATCTACAGGCAGCCATGGAGTGAATGAGCAAGTTATTTGGGGGATTGTAGACCTGGTTATCGGGGAGGGAAACTCCTTTTTTCTAATAGTTTTGTGAGATTTTAATGACAGGCAGCAGAACCTCGGTTCAACGTCTCATCGGGAAGCTGTCATCTCTGACAAGGCAGCACTCTCCCAGCACTGCACTGGAGTGTCAGCCTGGACTGAACACACAACCTGTAATGATTCTCAATCCACAACACTGGTGGATTGAGTAAATTGTTTAATCTCAGATCAGACCAATCCAATACTTCAACCGTAAACAACCCGCCCCTGATTCCCTTCCCAGGAACTTTTTATACATCTTGCTTGCATTTCATTGGCGTTTTCTTGATTGCTTTTTGCTTCTTAAAGGCAAAACCTCCTCCTCCGCGTTCGCCTGACTGAGCCCAACTGACAATTTGACAGCATTCCTCCCTGAGGACAGGAGCTTGTCAGTTGATGTGAACAGTAGTAAGGCAATGTCTCTTTTCCAGGGGAGCAGGATGTATATTTATCGAGATGGTTGAAGGATCTCCAGCCTTCCCCGGGGTCTCGGATGCCAATGAGCAGCTACAGAGGATCTGGGCGGTAAGAGGACAATGAGAATTCCGCACACGTATACCTACATGTGGGAATTTCCTTGTGCCTGGAATATAACACTCACTCTCTTCCCTGGAGGGACGCACTCTGCTTACCTAATTCTGAAATACATTTGGCATGGAGTACCCCAAAGTGTGTTTGGCGGTAACTGCTGAGTTTAATCAGTGAAATCCACACAGCCTGCCATTGAAAGCACTGTCCAGCAAGCTTCCTGCTGCTTGTCTAGCAAGGCCCACCCAACCTTTAGAGATTTGGGTTTAAGTCCAGTCCTACCCGAGATAGTGAAAGTCTCTGACCAGGTCACTGGTAGCTCACAGTTTCATGGGTCAACAAATGAGACTGATCCAATCCCACTCCCTCGCAGTGAGGCTGTTTGATACTGGCCAGTGTGGAACGCTTGATCAAGATTGATATCAACCCCTGAAAACTCTGATCTGCTCAAGGCACATCCCAGCGAAACTTCCTTCATTATTTTTGAATAATGCCGTTGGTTCCTTTACGTCCACCTGAACAGGCTTCAATTTAACTGGAGTCCTGTATCTCAGTGGTTAGAGCACTCGCCTCACAAGTGAATGCTTACTCCACACGCCTGATAATAATGCCTCAAGAAAAAAAAAAAAATGTGGTCACTCAATCCACGACTGTTTGTGGGACACTGCTGTGCGCAATTGGCTGCTGCATTTCGCCCACAAATATACAGTCAATTCACTTTATAGTGTATTCTGTGAAGAGCTTTGAGACGTCTAGAAGACGTAAAAAGCGCTATATCAAATGCAAGGATTATTATTATTAAATAACTTCTCATCCGATTTAGGGGCTTTGAGACGCCTCAACTACATGATATGGCTCTGTATCAAATGTGAGGAATATTTTATTATCCAAACGACGGCACCTCTGACAATGCAGTGCACCCCCAAGCACTGCATTGAAGTTTCAGCTCGGATTGTGAGCTCAAAAGTCCCCGACACGGGGCCTGAACCCACAAGCTTCTGGAGCTGCGGATTCTGTTGTGAGGACAAAGCATGTGGTTACTCACAGGTTCATGTGTTTGGCTTTGGGTTGGGTTAGGCTTGGGCTCGCTCGCTGACGGGTTGCTATTTGTTGACAGATCCAGGGCACGCCAACCGAGGAGACCTGGCCAGGGGTGTCCTCGTTACCCAACCACAAGCCAGGTAACTACCAGCTCCCATTGTATATCTCTGCACCCGGGGTCTTGGGTATAGTGGGGAGTGCGGGTGATGTGGGGGGGGGGGGTGCGGGAGAGTAATGACAGGGAGGTATCATGGATTGTGCAACACGGTGGGGTGGGGGTTTGCTGTCTGTGGTGAGGATTCCCCATCCTCACTTGTGCTGCTCTTAAAGGGAGTTCCCTGCACACCGCTTGAGGGGGCACAATTGCCCCTTTGCTCCCAGAACAACATGGTCCTGAAAGCCCCCTTTGTATCACTCTGCACTACAGAGCAAACCAGAGGGGTTAGGACTGTGTGGTTCTGGGGGCAAAGGAGCAATTGCTCCTGCTTGTTCAGGAACCCCAGCCCCCCTTCCCCCACCCCCGCTGCCAGCTCAGTTAAAGCTGATATCACTCTCCCCCCTCCGCCCCCCACCCCCACCCCCTTTCCAATTGGTGTCTCACTTCCCAATGCTCTGTCCTCGGGTGTCAATGAGGACACGTCTAAAAGTCAGACAAATGGGCCCAGTTGTTAGCGATGGCTTCACTTCATTGAACAGGGGGCAAAGTTCACAGGGAAGTGAAGGAATAAAGTGCTTTCGGGATGGGTTAACCTGAGGGGGAGGGGGGTTAAGGGGGACGATACAATCACGCCCCTGGAGTGGCCCCCTTTTGGGTGCTGCATTTAATCAGACAATGATCCCCTGACCCACTGCGCCTGGAAAAGAAAAGTAGCGGGGAAGGGGAGGGGTTGGGTGGGAGGGAGAGAGAGGAGGAGGGGCGGACTGCACAGTGTAAAAGGTTCACAATAAAAGTTTCAGCTCCTCACTGTCTGCACTGAGAACACAAGAGGATGAATGAGTCTTGTTTGAGCTCACCAGACCGTGCAGAAAGGCTGGAGGGAGAGAGGGAGCAGCTCTGATCTGCCGACCTCCACTTTGACAAGGCAGTTTGAGACGGGCCTTATGTCTTGCATGCCACAGGTCTCTGTGTTCCTTGTGGGGGAGGGAAGGGGGGCACGGTGGGGGGATGGGGGGACAATGGCGGAGGCTGAAATCTCCCCAATCTGCCCTAAACTCCTTTGGAAATGGGGAGTGTGTTTGAATCAGGATTTTGCTACATCCTCGCTGCAGCGTGTGGCTCCCTCATCATGGACAGTGCAACGGGGAAGGAGGAAGCATTAAGGATGGGGGGTTGGGGAGCAACAACCGCTCAGGCCAACAGTGCCACTCCTGTCTCTCAAGATTAAGACTAAGTGGAATTTGAGGTTTCTGGTCCCAATGGCTTTGGGACGTCCTCCCGACATGAAAGATGCTATACAAATGTAATTTTGTTGTTGGGTGAGTGGGGTCAAGAAACTGGCACAAGATGCTGTTAGTCAGCTGTTTTCTCTCTCTTCCTCTCTATTTGTCTCTCTCTATCACCCCCACAGAGCACTTTAGACCTCATCCGCCTCGCAAACTGGGCCACATTTGGAAAAGGTAACAATAACTCTTGCAACTGATACAGAGCCTTGTCACACCGTCGCAACGTCTCAAACTGCTTCACACTGGAGAGTGGAGTGACTGCATGTATTTTGTGGGCTTGTTTTGTGGGTAGGTGCTTTATAACAAGAAAAGGAATGGACAAGAGCCAGGGAAGTTGAAGCATCAAATGTCCCAGCCAAGAATCTCAAAGGCAAAATTGGCCGTTCACCCCGCGGCTCCTTGTGGGACGTTGCTGTGTGCAAATTGGGTCGGCTGCAAAATACACAGTTGCTACTGTTTACAGTAACATCTTGTGAAGTGTTTTGAGATCCAGTAAGCAGGCTTGATGGGCCGAATGCCCCTCTCCTATTTGTAAAGTCCGACGTACAAGAGGTGTAGTGACTCTGGTGTTTTGCAAACATATTTGGCAGCCAGTTTGTACACAGCAACATCAAACAAAAACAGCCATGAAGTGAACGACTGGTTTTATTTGGGGGATTGTTGGCCAGGACACTGGGAGAAACTCCCTTCACCTTTTCTCAGAGTGTGTCATGGGATCTTTAACATCCCCTGAACAGACAGACAGGACCTCGGTTTACTGTCTAACCCAAAGGGTGGCACCTTATCCTAATGTCAGCCCCAGAATCATGAATTCCACTTGACATTTCTTTAAGTTGAGGGTAATCAATGCGTGGAATGGGTTGTCGGGAAATGTGTTTGAGCTAGGGCCCTGGACTCATTTAAAAAGCGACTTGATCCAGGGATGGGGAACGGTAGAGTATGTGTTCTGGAAGGGTGAGATCTTGTGAGGCGTTTCTGAACCTTGGTGACCTCTGAACTCTCCCCTCTTGTTCCTCCTGTATTTCAGGAGACAAAGGTCTTGTGGCCTCCAGAGCTCTGTAGTGACCGTTCGTCCAAACTGGCCATCAATTTCCCACTCACTGTCCTGGTCTTGCTCGCTCACTCGCTCGCACACACTCACAATCACCCAGACAAGTACCCCGTTCCAACGAAAAGGAAATATTTTATTCTTCTTGAAAGAGACCCTCTTGATGGTTGGTATACTTACCCCAGTGCGGTTATTCTGCTCATAAAATATTCAGAGGGATGATGACAGGAGGAATGTAGTTTGGGTGACGGACGGAGACTTCCCTCTGGAGCTGACAGATGTCTTCAGTGACTGACGCAGTTCCAAACTGGCTGAGTAAAGCTGTACTGCCACGTGTGGGGGGGGGGGGGGGGGGGGGGAGGGGGGGGCACGGATCTTGTGAGTATTAATAATAATAATCCTTGCATTTGATATAGCGCTTTTCATGTCTTCTCGACATCTTAAAGTGCTTCACAGAATAGACTGTAAGGTGAATTGACTGTATATTTGTGGGCGAAACGCGGCAGCCAATTGCGCACAGCAGTGTCCCCCAAACAGGTGTGGATTGAAAATGACCAATTTATTATTGTTTTGTTTTGGAGGGATTATTATTAGCCGTGTGGAGTAAGGAAACTTGCCCAAGGTTTCGCCCAGCCAGGAATTGAACCCAGGTGTCTTGCTTGCAAGGCGAGTGCTGTGCTCTAACCACTGAGCTACAGGACTCCACAACAGGACTGTTGTGTATTTTCCACAACACGAAGGCGTACGTGTATCTCACACAAAGCACTGCCGCTTGCTGCCTCCCTCACGCTCACTGCCCTCACCTGTACTGATGGTGATGTCCTGTAATGTTGCCCTTACCTGTACTGATGATGATGTCCTGTAGCGTTGCCCTCGTCTGTACTGATGATCTCTCTGGTTACTGTTTGTTGCTTTTCCAGGTTGGGACTCGTTACCAAAGCAGAGGATCTGACGTCAAAGCTGATCGAGTGCTGTCCCCGGCGGCGCATACCGGCAGAGGCCGCCCTGCAACATGAATATTTCAGCAGCCTCCCTCCGCAGCTCGCCCAGCTCCCAGACAGTATGTGCCACTCTCTTTTATCTATAGAACCACAGACAGCAACGACCACCTGGCAGGAGGCCAGTTGATCCAGTTATTATTGCACCTCTGATGAAACGATCTGAGCCCAACAATATTCCTTAGTGCTGTTCATGTCAGGGGGGGCATCTCAACAGCATTTCACAGGATTTTTGCTGAAAAGTGTAAGTGACTGTATTCTGTAGGCGAACCAGCATAGCGAAGTCCCACAAACAGCCTTAGAGTGAGTGACCAATTTTTATTTGGGGGTTGTTGGCTCTTTACAAATACTGCCATGGAATCTTTAACTTCCACCTGAACAGGCAGACTGGACATCGGTTTACAACAACAACAACAAGATTCCATTTATTGAGCGCCTTTCACGGCGGGAGGACGTCCCAAGGCGCTCTACAGTTGAGAGGCTGAAGGCCCGGCCACCGCTGAAGGCCCGGTCCCAAGGTTTAACGGCTCATCCGAGGAATGGAGGAATGATGGCACCCCTGACAATGCAACACCCCCCCCCACCCCCCCAGAACTGTATTGGAGTATCAGTGTGTCAGCGTTACTCAGTGGTAGCACTGTCACCTAAGAGTCAGAAGGTTGTGGAGTCCTGTAGCTCAGTGGTTAGAGCACTCGCTTTGCAAGTGAGAGACCTGAGTTCAATTCCAGGCAGGGCGAAACCTTGGGCAAGTTTCCTTACTCCACACGCCTAATAATAATCCCTCCCAAACCAAAAACAATAATAACTTGGTCATTTTCAATCTACGACTATTTGTGGAACATTGCTGTGCGCAATTGGCTGCCGCGTTCGCCCACAAATATACAGTCAATTCACTTTACAGTGTGTTCTGTGAAGCGCTTTGGGACGTCCTCCCGACGTGAAAAGCGTTATATGAAATGCAAGGATTATTATTTGTGGGTTCAAGCCCCTCATCAACTCCAATCACTCCAATGCAGTGCTGGGGGAGTACCCCCCCGCGATCACATCACTCTCACCCTCGCTCGCCTCCACTGGCTCTCCATCCCCCAGAGGATCGAATTCAAGATCCTCATCTTCACCTACAAGGCCATTCACGGCCTTGCTCCCTCCTACCTCTCTGACCTACTATCCTCCTACTTACCTGTCCGTACCCTCCGTTCCTCTGGCTCTGGTCTGCTCCACATCCCCCGCCCCAACCGCCCTACCATCGGTGGCCGGGCCTTCAGCCTCTCAGCTCCTAGGCTCTGTAACTCTATCCCCCAGTGCCTTTGCCTTACTTCCTCCCTTTTCTCCTTCAAGGCCGGTCTCAAGACCTTTCTCTTTGACCGTGCCTTCAGCTCCCCTCTCGACTCTCTACCCCCTCCTCGCTCTCTGCCTTCCCTCCCCTCACCCTGACCATTTCCCCCCTGCTCGGGTCCTAACCCAACTGTAGAGCGCCTTGGGACGTCCTCCCGACGTGAAAGGTGCTCTATAAATGGAATCTTGTTGTTGTTGTTGTGGTGGTCTTTGGATGAGACATTAAAGTGAGGTCCCGTCTACCTGTTCGGGTGGATTTTAAAGATCCCGTGGAAAAGGCTGGTGTTCTGGCCAACAATCCCCCAAATAAAATGGATCACTCCGATCCATGATTGTTTGTGGAACATTACTGTGGGCAACTGGCTGCCGCATTTTGTCCACAAAATACACAGACAATCCACTTTACAGTATATTCTGTGAAGCACTTGGAAACGTCTTAAGGCGCTGTATCAAATGCAAGGATTATTATTTTTATTATGTTATAAAAGTCCCAGAGTGGACATGAACCCACAATCTTCTGAACCCAAAGTGCTACCAATTGAGCCAGGTTGACATCATAATCCCCAATCCCTGCCCTTTCCCCAAACCCTCCAAAACCCTTCCTATGCATGTGCCTTTCCCTTTAACGCCAACCTCCTCTTCCTCCCTCAGTTTCCATCCAATTAAATGGAATTTGTCAGAGCAACAGGGCTCCCATCTGAGACGGTAATAGCAAACAATTATTGGAGTCAGCGTGCCTCCACACACGGGAGAAATGAGAGTCTCAGAGCGCGGGGAAGAGAGCTGTCATTTGCCGTGATGCTTTCTTACCTGTCAGGCTGTTCAGGAGCTGAACGAACACTGCAGGCGAAGAAATGAAAGATGATCATAGTGCCTGACACAGTCTTGCTGGGCAAATCCTCGGTCACCTTGCTCTCTATTGCCACTTGGGGGAGGGTGGGTGTAGAGGTGAGATATAACCAGTGATCATTTCTATCCATCTCTCCCTCCTTTACTTGTTGTGCATTTCACATACACACCCCTCCCTCTCCTCCTCTCCCAACATTAATCTGGAATGAGCCGTTTTAAGATGAAAATTGTCTTCCGCTTGTTAATTGGGATAATCAAAAAGTGGGATGACTGATCCATATAAAGGATGGTTTGAGGTGTGGGATGGCGGGGGGTGGGGGGGGAATGTTGAGGACAGATCTTGCTGCCCAGGGCCCTCTCAGTTGCCCCCCCCCCCCACCCCTGTCCCATTTGTTTCACTGGAAACTTCTTTGATGTTCTGTCACTGTGGTAAAGATGCTGTTCGCTGTCATTCTCACTTCACTTCTTGATCTCAGGAATTTGCTGCAGAAAGTCGATAAATAGTCCTCGCTTTTCTTATATATAATCCTTGTACTTGATGTTTCATGTCCTGAGACGTCTCAAAGCACTTGGCAGAATTTACTGTGAAGTGACTGTGTGTTTTGTAGGCGAACGCAGCAGCCACTTTGCTCAGAGCAGTTTCTGCACAAGCAGCTGTGAGTTGAATGCCCATTTATTGATGGAAGAGGTACAGCAAGTGGGAGCTACACCACTGTCGTGTGGATAATGACACATGAGGGGTGGTAGGTTCACTAGTGAGACAGTTGTGTGGCGAGTGTTCGCCATTGTAACATTGAAGGTTTGTGTGTTCACCACTGTCACAATGAGGGTTTGTGTGTTCACTACTGTTGCAATATGTTTAAGGGCGTCACCATGGTTAAATGGCCATTGCAAAGCACACCTGCACTCCGCGTAATTATAAATTTAAAGCCTCTGGTGGAGAATATTATAGAGAGCTGCTGGCATTTCCTTATTCACCAGTGCAGCTGTGAAGTGGAGTTAGAGGAGCCTCTGTTTATTGGTGGAGTTATTTTTTTTGGTCAGCCACATACGGACACCCATCACCATGCTCAAGAATATCCAAACCAAGCTGAGAATTCCATGCATCCCACCTACACACGGAAGTCCCAGAGATAGATTGTTGGAATGGAATGTGTAAACTCTATCCCTGGAGGAACGCATCCTGCTTACCTAATTCCAGAAAGTTTTAGGCACAGGTTGGCAAGAGCCAAGGCTTGGGGACCCCAGAGCGTGTGTTGGGGTAACTGGTGAGTCTAACCAGCTAAATCCGCATAGCTTGGCACTGATATTGCTGTCCAGCAAGCTTTCCCGCTGCTTGTCCAGCTAGGACCGTCATACCTGTTAGGGCTTTGGCTTGCAGGGTTAACAGGAGCTGAGTGGGAGGATTCTGTACCCCAAGCCCTGCCATGAGCAAGTGCTGTCATCAACAGTGCCATAGAATACTGTGGACCCACCTGGCTCAGTAACTGGACTTCTGAGACCGCCACAGAAGGCTGGCTCAATACGATATTCCGTTGCCAGGTATGTCATCTTGGAACCAGTTCAGCTCCAAGGAGACTCTACTCACCCTTTCCCTCCCCCCCCCCCCCCCCCCCCCCGCCCAAGGAGGATAGATAGATAGATACGTGGAGTGAGAGGAGTCTCTGTTGTATGTAAGTGGAGATTCAGCCAAAGGATGGCACCTCTGTCAATGCAATCCCATCCCCCACCCTCAGCACTGCAGTGGATGTGAGTTCAAATTTGCGATGTGTGTCTCAGAGAGCAAGAGTGCTACCAGCTGAGCAGTTGGCTGGCACGTCTCAATGTGGAATCTGAACAAGTTGCACCCTGCTCGTAAGGAAATCAGTCAAGAAATGTGGCAAACTGGGCCCTGATTTTGACTGATTTGGAGACTAATGGTTCTTAAAATAACAAGTGCGGCAACTGAGCTGGAGCCAAGGAAGAGAGAAGAAGCGGGATGTACTGTGGGATATCTGTCAGGAGTAAAGGGGCCCAATTAGCCGGTGAAATAATGAATAAGCAATGGATGTGTTTGGCTCCAGTGCTCATTACCAGTACGGATGAAAGAGAACAGAGCTGACAAATGAACAGTCAGAAATTTACATTCCACTCCAGATGTGCGCTGCAAAGGGTGGGTGAGGGTGGGGGGAAAATCTATTTATTCTGAATGTAAGTGACGGGAATAATTACACTGGGTGAAATGGCAGGTTGATAACTGGAGTTGTAGAGGCTGCTGCTTTTGTTCAGGGAGAGCTGCAATTATCAGCCCGCTGCAGAGGAGTTTGCAGAGGCAGAGTGGAAGGTAAAGGTTGGTGGGAGGGGGATGGGGTGGGAGGGTCGTGGCAAGGGGGAAGGGCTGGGGGAAGGCAGACGGGACCTCGATTTATTGTCTGATCCCACTACTGCATTGGAGCGTTGGCCTAGACTAAGTTCAAAGCGGGGTGGGAGGGGTAGTCATTGAGGGAAGGGACCTTGGTTTAACGTCTCAACAACATCAACTTGCGTCGATACAGTGCCCTTCACCCAGAGACAGCAACTCTGGCAACACAGTGCTTGGAGTGTCAGCCTGGACCGTGTGTATTCAAAGTCTCGAATTGGGTGAGGATGCTATCAACCGAGCCAGGCTAGCGACACCGCTGTTTGAAACAGAGCGTGTGCTCCTAAATGAGCTTGGCCGGTCTCACCATTACGGTTCCTGCTGACCAACATGCTAGCATGCTTATGACAGTGAGCATCAGACTGCCTCCTTGTCCTCCCCATCATTGGTGGGTGAGCTTTCAGCTGTTTTCTCCCTCCCTCTCTCTCCCTTGAAGCCCATCTTTAAGATGTATCTCTTCGACAGCGCTTTCAATTATCGTCCACCTGTGTGCCTTCTGTCTCCAACCCTCCCTGCCCTCCACCCCTCTTGATTCCAGCCCCCAGCTCGGGTGCAAACCCTTCACTGTCCAGCGACTTGGGGCGTCCTCCTGACGTGAAAGGCACTGTATAAATGAAATTTGTTGTTGGTAGGAATTACCCTGTGGTGCACCTCATGACGGTTCAACAATCACAACAACAACTTGCATTTAGATAGTACTTTAGTTTGACTCTGATCCAGGTTCAACATGGTAAAACGTTATAAAAGCATAAGTTGTTTATGACTGCCTCTAGAGGCACTGTAACGCAAGACTTTTTCCCCTTTTCTTGCTCCATAGTGGTTTCCATCTTCACCGTGGCTGGCATACGATTGGAGCCGGAAGCACGGAATGCTTTCCACCCCTTTCGGAAGGAACGATGCAGCTCCATCCTGGCCTGACCCTGGAGGAGCAGACGATGACAAGGTCAGGGTGAGAGTCTCTTTGTCATGGATTCACAACACAAGCTGCCCTCTTCTTCCGCAAATAGGGGGCAGTGAAAGAAAGACAAGAAAGCTGGATCAGATGGCACTCAGACACCACATCTCCTTGGCTGTGAACGAACCCCTTTGCTCTGTGAATTGAATAATCATAATAATAATCCTTGCATTTGATATAGTGCCTTATCACGTTGTTGAGACATCTCAAAGCGCTTCACAGGATATCACCCACAAAATCCACTTAAAGTCAATCCACTTTACAGTATATCCTGTGAAGCTCTTTGAGATCTCTTGACGACTTGTTAAGGTGCAATATCAAATGCAAAGATTATTATTATAGACATCTGACTGGCATTGCATTGGGTCCATTATCTACTAATGTAATCTTCCCTAGCCCTGCCATGTTCATATTAGAAGTGGGCAGGGAGTGAGCTACTCTACTTTCTCCCCCCTGTGAGAAAGGCAGGAGTGGGCTCCCCCATTCACACATGTGTCAATGAAAAATCATTTGCCACCAACCCTGCCAGGTAAACGTAACATTATGTTTGCTGACAAGATCGCAGATTGGTTTGGATGAAATTCCTTCAGCCCATCTGATCTCAGCCTTCCAGAACACCCACCCTCCCCTCCTGCAACGCAGCATTGAGCTGCTTTTTAAACAGGTCATTAAAACTGAGGTCCCATCTGCCTGTTCAGGTGGACATTAAAGATCCCATGGCGCAATTTGAAAAGGGAAGGGAGTTTCTCCCGGTGTCCTGACCAACAGTCCCCAAATAAAATTGGTCAATCATTTCATGGCTATTTGTGTGTCATTGCTGTGTACAAATTGGCTGCTGCATTGTCTACAATATCAGTCAGGTCACTACACTGCCCAGTAAAATCCTGTGGAGTGTTTTGAAACATCTGAACCGCATGATAAGGCCTGTATCAAATTCAAAGATTATTTTTACATAGAACCTCTGAGCACTGGACAGTTGCCTGAGCGCCCGATGTAATTACAAATCTCTCTTGTTTCCCAGGTTAATTTTTACTCCGAATGAAGTTTACATTGGCACAAACAGGAAGGAAGGACACGCTCCGTTTGACACTCAGTAGTTCTGTGTGCAGTCGATCGTTGTTTTCTCTCCCTATTCCCCCTCCTCCCCCCCCCCCCAAAAAAAAAGACCATCTCATTGAGATCACAGTCGCAACATCCTGAGGCTGTCATGTACCCAACTGTGTCTGACAAATAACGGCAGCCCTGTATCAAAAGCTTTCATCTATTAGTGGGAGAATCTTGCTATACATTTGGGTTTAGGGACTGGGAGGGGAGAAATTTCCTTTGTTGCTTTTGTGTCTTGACACAATACAGAAAATCATCACTATGTCTTAAGAGTATCTAAACCGGACTGAGAGTTCCAAATATGCATGTCACCTACACAAGGAAATTTCCCCTTGTCTGGAATGGAATACTGTTACTCTCCCTAAACGGATGCACCCTGGTTTCCTAATTCTGGAGAGTGTTATGTGGGGTTTGGCAAGAGCCCAGGTTTGGGGACCCCAGAGTGTGTGCGTTGGGGAATGCCCCTGTGAAACACTTTGGGACATCTCAAAAACGTGATAAAGTGTAGCAAATGGAAGGATTATTAGCATTATTATAATGGGGCTGGAGGAACATCAGTGGAGATAGACAGTAACCCTGGATGCCTATTGGGAGGAGTAACAGAGTCTGACAGCAGGACTGTCAATCATTCCTGTTCTGGTGACTGATTGACTGAGACGAATATTTAAATTCGCTTTTTAACCTAAAAACATCAAGCTTTTCAGAAATTCACCCAACCCATCATCGAAAAAGAGGACAAGAGTCAGATATGACCACGGCAGTGAATTTAGACTCCTTTCTCGAGGAAAATATTGTGAGGGGAGAAAAGGAGTTAAAAGACTTTCCAACAAGTGAAGCTGTGGAACAACTTACATGGAACTTGACAGCACAGAACAAGACACTTGGTCCAATTATTCCTTATGAGTTGTGCTTTTTATGTCATGAAACTTCTCGAAGAGCTTACTAGGAATGGAATGGGGCCTGAGCCCGGGTGAGAGATGATAATTTTAAGCTCTGAGTTACTTCCCTGCATGAAGAGCGATGTATAAATACAAGTTGTTGAGATGGCACCTTTCACGTCGGGGTAACATCCCAATGCGCTTCACAGGATATAGCTTAAAGTGTGGTTTGTGGGCAAGTATAAAAGGGGATAAGAGGACTGAAGAAGCAGTCAAGGAGGTAGGTTTACAGAAGTTGTTTGAGCAACAACAACAGAAACCTGCATTTTTATTCAACCCGTCACATAAGCGCTCTGGGACGCTACTCTGCGTGGGGGGTGTCACTATATAAATGCAAGTTGTTATTGCTGAAGCATAACATCTGGGTGATGGTGTCAGACAGTGAACTGGGATGGGGGAGGAGGAGTGACTTTCGGTGAAGGCATAGAGGTTGTCAAAGCAGATTGGGAGTGTGTGAGGTGGAAGGACCTGGTGGGAAGATACCAGAGAGAGAGAAAGAACCTGTGGAGGAAAAAGGCCGATTTCTCTCAAAAGAGCACTGTGAATGTAGTTTTTTCCCCCCCCTAAAACCTTGTCAGGGGGAGTGGAAGAAGAGGGGTTGAAAAGAAGAGAATGTTCCTAAGCAGGGCAGGGAGCGTGATGTACTGAATGTTCTGGCAGAAATTTCCAAAAACCTGCCCTGAGGGGGGGATCTCACGGACATTCTGTTCTTGATGTGATTATGCAGTGGACCAGGGTTGGAGCGCTGCGCAAAGCTGGACTAACTGACGTTCAGACTCCCCACAGTCGTGAGGAGGGAGAAAGGTCACTTTTACTTTTGAATCCATTTCTGGCTGTGCCGTTAGGTGTTAGCTCCGTCTAATTATCCGTCTTCTCTCTCCATGTGGGGTGTCTGTAATATTGAGGACCGAAAGAGCTCACTCCCTGCCTCTTGCTTTGTGCATCTCTATATTATATCCACCATAGCGCTGAATATCTTGTGCATTAAATAAAAGGTAAGCTTGATGCCTTATTTATCTCGGAATAAGCAAACCATGGTAAAAAATAAAAGTGCCAGTATTGGACCAGGGTTGTTTTGTTTTCTTCATTATCCAGTTGGTTGAAAATGAAGACTTAACATTCAAATTCTGTGCTCACTCCACTGAGCTGCTGCTCCTGGGATGGCTGATCGACAGAAGGAGTGGCACGCAGAGCATCAGAGTATGGGCATTTACTGTGACCGCCCAGCCATCACTGGGCAGGTCTGTGGTGAGATTCCTGTCCCCTGTGTCCCCGGGTTCTAGATCAGAATGCATTGGGTGCCTGCATTTTGAGTGTGTCTTGAGACGAATGTCTTTCTTCAGACCTACACAAGATTGTCCTCATTCCTCCCCTTTACTTTGAACTTGCCAATTTGTGTGTCAGCCTGTCTCTATTGGTAACACTCTCGCCTCTGAATCAGAGGGATGTGGGCTGAAGCCCCACTTCTGGCCTTAGAACATATAAAGTCCAAGATGCCACTCCAAAGTAGTGCTGCGGGGGAGTGGGGAGATGCCTTCTTTGTTGGAGATGCCGTCTTTCGGATGAGACGTCAGATCGAGGTCCCATCTGCCTGTTCCAATGGAGTTTCTCCCGGAGTCCTGACCAACAATCCTCTAAGTAAAACTGATCACTCCCTCCATGGTTGTTTGTGGGACATTGCTGTGTGCAAACTTGCTGCTATGTTTCGCCCACAAAAAACAATCACCACACTTTACAGTATATCCTGTGAAGCACTTTGAAAAACATCTCAACGACGTGATAAAGGGTTGAATCAAATGCAAAGATTATTATTATCCATCTGTAGGACCTAACACTGATTCCACCTATTGATGTACTTGTGGATTGTATGGAGCCATTTGGCTGGCATTTTCTGTCTCTCTCTCCTGACACCTTTCACTGCGGCAAGTTCCTGAGATGTTGAGGGTCGGAGGGTGGGGAACATGCTTGCAATCCACTCGGATTTTTATTTTTCGGAGTTAAAAGATCAAAGACGGGGGGTGGACGAGCTGGTAAAATATTAACCAAGCTGGTTACTCCTGGAGATTAGATGAGCTCCGTTCCTTTGATCTTGTCCTGTCCAATAATCCTGTCTGAAGGAGGGTTGGGGGGAGAGGCAAAATAACTGGAAGTTTGGACTGAATCCCGTGTGGAGTTAAAAGTGGACCCAGTTGGTACATGCCAAAGACATTCTACCAGAGAGAGAGGAGAGAGCTTTCTAACCATGTGAAGCACATCCACTGAACAAACAAAATAAATAATAATAACCTTTGCATCTGATATAACGCCTTATCACGGCATCAAAATGTCACAGGGTTGACTGCAAAGTGTAGTGACTGTGTATTTTATACCTGTAAATAGCCTTGAAGTTAATGACCAATTTTATCTGGGGGATTGTTATGGGACATCAGGACATTGGAAGAATCTCTGTTTGAATAGTGCCATGGGATCTTTAACATCCACATAAACAGGCAGACGGCCATTGATTTAATGGCTCATCTGAAGGATGACATTCCTGACAATTACTGCACCGGAGTGTCAACCTGGACTGGGAGCTCGAAAGTCCTGACGTGGGGGCTTCAACCTACAAACGTCTGACTCACAGACGAGAGCATTATCCACTCAGCCAACCGAGACTGAATGGGCTGAGGTGAGGTGAGCTCCGTGTGGAACATGAGTCAAGGAGCTTCACCAAGGTCACAAAGGAGGTTTGGATGAAGAAGGCCCTTTGGCCCATTGATCTCACCCACCCTCACCACCATGTCCATCTGTGAGCTGAGATGATGATTGCTAGTAGACTAGCAACCTGAGAGAGAGAGAGAGAGAGTGAGGGTTTGGAAAATCGCAACTAACTAATTCACTTGCTTCCCACCAGGGAAGATGGGAGCAGAGAAAGGCTGGAGCCAGAGATGCTTGAGTTGGTTACGTTAACAGTGGTGGGCTGTGATGAGCTCTCACCCAGGAGGTCCCATAGGCTGGCTTGTCTTTGCCACTTCGTCTGTTTATTACCTGTTGCCATTGTGATGTTGCAGCACCATTGCACAGGCAATGTCAAGCTCATTGCTCTCTACTGTAGTGATGCATTTCCTGCAGCCAGGATACCCTCCACCCATCTGCAATAATAAGGTAATTTGAAGCCTTTTAGGAACAACAGGAATATTACAAGATGAGCATGTTACATTGGGCGCATTTGAGGGGAGGCCAATATTAAACCGAGACCCTGTCTGGGTGATTGGTTCATTGTGTGGATGAAATGCGGCAGCCCAATAGCGAACAGCAATGTCCCACAAACAGCCATGGAATGAGTGACCAATTTTATTTTGGGAGATTTTGGCCAGGACACCGGGAGAAACACCCTTCTCTTTTCAAATAGTGCCATGGGATGTTCAACATCCACCTAAACAGGCAGACGAGAACTCATTTTAACGACTCATCCAAAGGACGCCACCTCCGACAGTGCAGCACAACCCCAGCAATGCATTGGAGGATCATCTTAGACTATGTGATTCCAGTCCCGACGTGGGGCTTGAACCTACATCTTCTGACTCAGAGGCGAGAGCGCTTCCACTGCGCCAGGCTGATACACCTTTTAGATATTGTCTCAGACGTAGTGTTACTGCTTTCTCTGCTGCCCCTCCCAAATCAATATCAGTCCCTGCAAGGAACATAATTCTTTAAGTTTATAAGAAAACATAATATTCATTGACACAGCACCTTTCATGTCAGCAGGACATCTCAACGCGCCCCTCAGGATTGACTATGAAATGTAGTGACTGTGTAATTTTGCAGGAGAATGCTAACACTGATCATTCCAGGGTCTACCCCACTGACTCCTTTATAGATTTTAAAAGTTTCTGACTGACCCTTCTGTGTTTCGTGTAAGGAAGGTAAAGGGTGCATTTGGCACTCAGAGTTTAGCCTGAGAGAATTCAACAGCGCTGATGCATGCAAAGCATAAAACCACGGCTTTATCACAGCAGTGAGCACTGTTCATGCATAGGAGTCAGCAATGAAACACATACAGGGTACAGTAATATGTGAGAATAAATCGTTCCTTTCTGCCATGACTACACTGTGCACACATACGAGCTGGCACTGAAACACGCACAAGCTGTACAGTTATCTGCAGGAGTAAATTGTTCCCATCCACCCAGTGTGCACTGTGTATTTATATATAGAGAGTGACTGTGTATTTACAGAGAGTGACTGTATTTACAGAGAGTGACTTGTGCGTTTACAGAGTGACTGTGTATTTACAGAGAATGACTTTGTATTTACAGAGAGTGTCTGTGTATTTACAGAGAGTGATTGTGTGTTTACAGAGAGTGACTGTGTGTTTACAGAGAGTGACTGTGTGTTTACAGAAAGTGACTTTGTATTTATTGAGCATGTCTGTGTATTTACAGAGAATGATTGTGTATTTACAGAGAGACTGTATTTACAGAGAGTGACTGTGTGTTACAGAGAGTGACTGTGTTTACAGAAAGTGACTTTGTATTTATAGAGCGTGTCTGTGTATTTACAGAGAGTGATTGTGTATTTACAGAGAGTGATTGTGTATTTACAGAGTGATTGTGTATTTACAGAGTGACTGTATTTACAGAGAGTGACTGTGTGTTACAGAGAGTGACTGTGCGTTTACAGAGAGTGACTGTGTGTTTACAAAGAGTGACTGTGTGTTTACAGAGAGTGACTGTGTGTTTACAGAAAGTGACTTTGTATTTGTAGAGCGTGTCTGTGTATTTACAAAGAGTGATTGTGTATTTACAGAGAGTGGCTGTGTATTTACAGAGAGTGACTGTGTGTTTACAGAGAATGACTTTGTATTTACAGAGAGTGTCTGTGTATTTATAGAGAGTGTCTGTATATTTACAGAGAGTGACTGTGTATTTACAGAGAGTGGCTGTGTATTTACAGAGAGTGGCTGTGTATTTACAGAGAGTGACCGTGTATTTGCAGAGAGGGACTGTGTATTTACAAAGAGCGAATGTGTATTTACAGAGAACGACTGTGTATTTACAGAGAGCGACTGTGTATTTACAGAGAGCGACTTTACTTACAGAGAGCAACTGTGTATTTACAGGAGCGTGGTACTATCTCTCTGTCTGTCTGTCTTTCTGTCCCTCAGTGTATGGGTTTTCCCCAGGTATCAGGAAAAGTCAGAGTGGTTGAACTTTGTAGGTGAACACAAGCTGCCCACAAACATAAGAGAGCAATTGCTGTTCAGGACTTTGAGGCGTTTCAATGTGATCAGACTATGGTGGTTGGGGGAAGGGGTTGGGGGGGAGCAAAGTATATGACAAGCTGATCCACTCACTGGTGCTGTGTGTGAGGTAAAGTAACCAAGCATGAAGCAGGGAGGGGATGTGGCAATGTCTAGGAATGCTGACTTGACTGATTGACCAGACTCTAGCGACCACACTGAACATCAGCAGCTGAAGGTTGTCTTTGCCGTGACTTGCTCAGTGGGCAGAGCGGCGCACACACACAGGACCGTGTGAAGTCTTCATCAGGATGAAAGGCTTCCCAATGGGGCCACATGACAAATCTCCATTATCTTCACAGCGGGACTGCTCCCCGGAATGAGTTCAGGCGCTGACAGCAACAGGCTGGCCACTTAATCGCGCTGTTCAAAACTCTAATGGTCTCGCACAATCCAATCCCCCAGCGCCCGGCTAATTAAACAGTTCCATGAGCAAATACTTACAAACTAATTCCCCTCCCAGACATTCACTTTCCAGCCTGTCTCCCATCCATTTACACATATACAGTCAAAACCGATTTACAGTGTATCCTGAAGCGCTTTGAGACAAAATGATAAGGCGCTATATCAAATGCAAGGATTATTATTATATTATATGACCATATATTATATTATAAATCAAGAAAATAATCATACTTTAGGACCTGCAAAAGTAGTCCTCGTTTGTACCAGGTAGCAACCAAAGCTTCCTTATAACAGGATTGGCTGTCCCACTCCAGTCTGTAATAGTTTGGCTGTTACATGTGCTGTCACCTCTAGGATGGAGCGGATTAATGGAGAGAGTGAGAAAACCTTGATGTGCTTAGAGACATGGCAGCAGAAGCACTGACAGACCCTTGGGAGGGGCGGGGGTTGGGGGGGGAAACAAGGTTAAAATCCCCACATATCCAATAGTATTCCTCAGTGAGGATACAGAGGCTCGATTGAAGGTGTGAATTGCTAAACAGCTGATCGTAGCTTCTCGTGTGTCAGCCTGACCCAGTGGTAGCAACAACAACAACTTGGATTTATATAGTGCCCTGCACGCCGGACGGCGTCTCAGAGGCCTTAGCACTCTCGCCTCGGGGTCAGAAGGTTGTGGGTTGAAGGACTTGGAATCACAAGCTGACTCTCCAATGCAGTGTTGGGAGGGCTGTTGGATTGTTGGAGGTACCATCCTTCAGATGAGATGTTAAACCGAGGTCCCAACTGCCTGTTCAGGTGGATGTTAAAGATCCCATGGCATTATTTGAAAAGAGAAGGGAGTTTCTCCCGGTGTCCTGGCCAACAATCCCCCAAAATACAATCAAAAATAAGATTATTATTATCCTCTATCACAACAATAGATTTAGCACTTTGAATCGACATATTTTACTGAGATGGCTCAGCTAAACACACACTGAACTGATGATCTCGCAATGCGGACACTCCCAGCACTGAGTTACTCTACCATCATGCTGCTCTCCTCTCCCCTTCCCCCACTGCCTGCCCTTGTAAAGCAATGCGAGACATTATTGCAATACAGTTGACAGTACCATTTATATTTCTTTAGCACCATCCACCTTGAGAGAGTGTCTCAAAGTGCTTGACAACACTGGGCGTAGGAAGGGGGTCGGGGTGAGATGGGTGGGGAGGAGGCAAATGACCGAGGTGATGTACGCCATGTAAATGCACATTGATGTTGTGTGGAGTAGTGGAAGGAATTTTAGCTGGTTAGACTCCAGCAGTACCCCAACACACACTTTAGGTTCCCCAAGCCTTGGCTCCTACCAACCTGAGCCTAATACTCTTTGGAATTAGGTAGGCAGGATGAATCCCTTCAGGGGGAGAGTGCGCATTCCAATCCAAACACGGGAATTTCACCCAGAAAACATAATAATAGTAATAATAATCCTTGCATTTCATATAGCGCTTTTCACATCTTCTAAACATTTCCAAGAGCTTCACAGAATATGCTGTAAAGTGAATTGACTGTATATTTGTGGGCGAAACGCAGCAGCCAATTGCGCACAGCAATGTCCCACAAACAGTCGTGGATTGAAAATGACCAATTATTATTGTTTTGTTTTGGAGGGATTATTATTAGGCTCTGTGTGGAGTAAGGAAACTTGCCCAAGGTTTCGCGCTGCCTGGAATTGAACCCAGGTGTCTTCGCTTGCAAAGTGAGTGCTCTAACCACTGAGCTACAGGACTCCACAACAAGACCATTTCCTTCACAATATATTCTGTGAAGGGCTTTGAGACATCTCAATGACTGGATAAGATGCTATATCGAACGCAAGAAATATTATTATTACTATTCTTTCCACGTGTAGACGGCAAGCATGGAACTCTCAGTCTGGTTTTGATGGGTTTCTGAGTGTGTCAGGCCAAAAAGAAAAATCGTTCTCTCTCCCTTTCTTCTCTTCGTTCTTTCTCTCCCTCTCTATTGTTCTTTCCTTCTTTCTATCTCTCTTTCTCTCTCTGTCTCTCTCTCAACCCATTCCTTATCCATGTGACCAGGTTGCCTCCAATTCCAGCTTCTTAATAGAGGAGAGGAGGGAAGGGCAAAGCGAGGAGTAAGGAGAGGGAAGAGAAACGAAGGAGAGAAGGGAGTGGGTGATTTCTCTGCACCATAAACTTTACCAGTGCCGATTTCCATAACTATTTTTAGTGTCTGTTGAAACTAATATAAAAATATTACATATGCAGGATCATTATTTGCAGTCGCATTGTTCATCGCACCCTCCTTTATAAAGCCGTGTTACCATGGTGACCGCTGCCCCTTTGCACTGTGAGATGACATAACCCTTTCTTCCTCTTGCTCCTTCCTCCCGCTCGGTAACTCGCTTCCTCTTGGTCTCCGCCGTACTCCCCCAAACGTTGC